AATACTCAAGTTTGACTTAAAACTTAAAATATTAGTGAAGACAGTTGTGTACAAGTACCACTGAATACGATTAGATGATTGACTAAATATTTATTGGCATTTATTTAGATTTTTTAAAGTAATTTCTGATGCAAAAACTTGGTTCCAGCTTCTCAAATATGAAGATTTGCTGCCATTTCTTTAAATTATTTCAATTTATTCGTTATAATTTTGATGTTTGGACTGTTGGTTTGTCGCTTTGGGCTCGACTGAAACAATTAATCGATTAATGGAGAAAATAATCAGCAGATGAATCCATAATGAAAATATTAATTAGTTGCAGTCTGATACAAAATACTTAAAAATGAGCTCCAACCAACTGCAACGGTAAAATCCTGTTTTTATATTAATACATCAGTCATAATAATCTAATGAAATCATATATCAGTGGTTCCCAACCTTTCTATCATTGAATAAACTCACTAAGGACATAATCTATAGATATTTTATATTATATTAAATATAACAACAAGAACAGCTGAACAGTGAACTCAACAACTGCAGGAAGTTTGTGTAAAACGAGCGATTTGGATCAATTCTGAGCAGATTATTTCCTGTGAATATTGATCAGAGATGAGTTTTCCTGATATTTTTAGTCTGTATTATGTTTTTGTTTTGTTTTTAACAATCAAACAGACTTAATAGGCTTCTTTTTGATAAATTCAGTGTTTTCTTCTCTTCATCATCAGCTTTTTAATTGTTTTCTCACGCAGGATGAGTGAAAGCTCTGTGAATATAACTTGTGTTCACGACTTTAAAGTTTAAATCTTAAAATAACAATTCAATTTAATTTGTTTTAATGGTAATGAAGGAAATGCTGTTATCTAGGCCTACTGTGTATATATTTAAAGTTTTATTATAAGAAGGCCCCCAAGTTGGGAACCACTGTCACATACAACAGTCACAGGGGACATTTATCGATTACTTTTACTTTTAATACTTTAAGTAATGTACATTTTCTCTTCTTATACTTACATACTTTTATTTAAGTAACATTTGTAATGTATAGGACTTAATATTTCTAGTGTGGTTGGTGCTTTTACTTAAGTTAATGATACTGAAATAGCTGAAATACGAACCTCTACTTCTTCTGACATCTGCACAAGAAAACTTTATTTCAAACAGTAACACATGTGATATTTTGACAGGAACAGTAAAAAACTCAGCCACAGATGATATCTCCTTTTGATCAGCACCTTGGGAACATTTCAGACATTATTTTAAACAGTTTTATTGATGCATAAACACACTGTTTGTCACTGTAATGAGTTTATCCGTCTTTTTTTTTCCCCTCCTCCTTCCCATTTCTTTCCCAGTTACAGTACCACCTGCTGCTCCTGCAGGACAGAGTTATCAGCAGCCTCATTTCAGCACACTCGCTCCATGCTGTGTAAATGATTTAGGCCCCCTGGTTGAAAATCTTTACTATTGTCTCATTTTACCCTGCAGACAGCGCAGTTGAAGCGCAGTAATGACTGAGCCTATTCACTCAGCATGGTGGTAACAGCAGGTGGGCTGAGGGAGGAAGACAAGCAGCGCAGGCACACTGTCTTGAATAAGATACCTGCTTACAACTGAGGTTTTATTCATTTTTCTTTTAACACATTTCTCCTTTCCCTGTACATTACATTTAAATTTCATTATGTTAATAAGGTTCTTATCTTTTCTTTGCTGAGAGTACAAACATTTAATCAAGACACCTCATTAATTCTACAGCACTGTGGCTGCTGTTCTCATTGTCTAGGCTAAGACTGCAGCGTCGGTCCGTCAGTCCACAGTGTTCTCACTCCCAGCTCGTCAAATATAGCAGCAGGTTTGGGAGGGTTACTTTAAAAATGTAATCCCAGGAGCATCTCACCTGGTACAGCTGGGGCTCCATGGACCAAGGCTGAGTCCTTGCTGCAATGGTCATAGGTTCGACTCCGACCTGTGGCCCTTTCCCCCTCTCTCTCCCACATTTTCTGTCACAAAAAACATTTCCTGTATCACAATATTAAAGTAATGCAACTTGATTATCTCAACACCAAATACGTAAATAAAACCATGTCAGTGCAAGTATATTCAACAACACACACAATAAAGTTAGGGTAACATATAAAGTCAAATAAAACTATGCAGTTGCTTCAACAGCACATTAAAAGAAAAGAAAAAGCTATTGTGGTCAGGAAACAAAACTGTGCATCAATAAATGAACGACATCCTGGTGTTTGGTTCCTTCCTGGAGTTCAATTAGTCAGTGAATTCACAAGAACACATTTACTCATTTCCTGTTTATGTAACCTGAAGACTTTAAAACATTACTTGGTAGGTGATTGGATGATTCTGTCACCATCTATCACATGAAATCTTCAGACCAACCAACCAATCAGATCAATGAACTATATAACATAGTCAAACACTTACCAAAAGTCAGAGCGAAAACATATTTTCTTCCTTCCAGTTCTGATATAACTGATGCTAGAAGCATCTACGCTAACCCCTTTAGCAGCCACCATTGTTGTTTTTCAATAAACAGTCGGTTCTCGATGCGTCACACTTCCTCATCGGACGCTGACTGGTCTAAACGAGTGGTTTTCAACCTGGTGGTCGAGACCCCCACTAGGGGTCGACAAAGCTTCATAAGGGGTCACGAGGCCTTTTTGATTTTAAGACATGCTAGTAAAATATACATAGTAGGCCGATATATCAGCATGGAATCACTTCTGTGAAGAAATGTAAATGTAAATTGTTTAGTAAAGTGTCTGATAGAACAATGGCGAAGCATCAGGGATAAGAAAACACTGAATTTGTCGAAAAAGAAGCCCATCAATAGAGATAAATACATAATAAAGACAGAGAA